CCTCAAAATTTTGGGACACTCTTTTCACTAAACTGAGGGTTTTATAGGCACACGTATGGTAAGGTTAGTTTTCCGGTATCCCTTACGATTTAACTGTGGTGTTCTGCTAAATCGTTGCTTCAGCTTTTACCACGCAAACGGCAGTGCTAACTCGTTGCAGTTTACCTGTCTTTAAACTCACATTGAAGAATATACCGCACGCAGCGCAAGTCAACCAATTCCACACTTCCCTCGTCGTACAAGGTTCCCCAAACACTCAGCCTTGATACACAGCCTTGGCATGTCAACTGACACACAAACCGCTAACCCTAACTTATTCTTTTCATAATCTGTTACGCTTTCTTCCACAAAAGCGCTCACTTCATCCCTTACTTATTCTTCCCTTAATCTTCCACCAAACTTTCGTGAAAACACCCAAGTAAGCTGTAAAAATCGTTATTGCTTTACCCGAGTTGTCCTTTTTTGCCCTCTCCGGTTTCTTTTTTCGCCTTAACCTCAAATCCAGTTTATTCCTGTCCTCCCTCGCAACAAAGTAACGTGCGTCGAACTTAAAAGGCACTGACAGCCTGAAAAGCGCATCTTCACATGTATTACTAGAAGTCAGATCACCTAGGCCCACATAACTGGGCTGGGCTTACTAAATCGGCCTAGTAAGATCTTTTATGTATGAAGAGCCTCGAAATTTATTTGTCTTTAGTAGGCTTTTTTGCTGGCTCTGACCTTCTGGAAACCTCTTTATTGCCTCGGAAGGCGCCATCATGAATAAGGAATCCCCTGTCTTGGATTAGGATGAACCCCCTGTAAAAAGGGCTGTTCTGGACCAGGATGCCCTGTTTGGGGATGATGTTTTTTCGGATAAGAGTCCACCTTTGCCAATCGGGAGGTTTCCGTTCTGGATGACGAGACCTCTCTTTGCATCAGAAGGCCCTATTATAGAACAGAAGATCCTGTTTCGGATAGGGAGGCCCTTTGATGGGCTGAGAATCTCCTGTATCGATTGCAAGTAGCCCGTGACCGGCATTTGTTTTTGAATCGTCGACAGTTATTCCCATGTGTATTCCTGCATGTAATGAACATAAATGATTAGGGAATGGCGAGCGCACGGTGACCTTTCTCCTCCTCTCCACTCTTGAGTACGACACCATCTAGGAAACCCCCTGTGGTGGAGGGGCCCCAGTTTGTCCGGGGGTCCCTTGGAAAAGTCTGCCCTCACAATAAAAATTCCGTGGCGTCCCTACTGGTTCATGGTGCTGTAAGACGGTTCATGATGGCTCACTCGACGTTGCTGTCTATCGTGAAATTGCACAGCGGCTTGCGGTGGATCTGAGTTGTATAATAGATTATGAGGGATAGATTTATGTGCGTGTTGTGACGTCACCGTAGCTCAGCTAGCGTAGCGCCGGACATGCAAAAATTGTGAGCGGAGGGTCGGGTGCGAATCCCAGAAACTGCACGCGTGTGACTCGTCACTGTCAATCATTTGGGAAATTGGCGAACTTTACGCTGGCACTGCGTGGACGTATGATGGCGTTGTTTACGCGTGCAAAATTGTTTGGGAAAATTGCCAGCTAAACTTGACATGTCTTACGGGGTGGCTGGATCATGGTTAGTGCGGCAGCCTGTGCTTAATAATTAATTTGACAAGATGAAGAACTAGGTCTGTCGGACATGCAGGTTGTTCGGTGATAGATAAGATAGGATACATGTCTGAAGGTTAGTGACAGAACTAGTCACAAGAAAGACTGCACTTTTAAGATGTCATGGTTCCTCGGGCAGGAAGCATGTCCGACGGGTCCGGCTCGCAAGGAGACCAGGCATACTTTAATGCACCAGGGCCGCGTATGCAGTTCCAACACCATATGGTCGTAGATCTTATTGGTCATTGTGGTTTTGGCACAGGGCTCTTTGTGCTTTGTTCATACATATGCATTTTTGGACTAGCCTGCCTTTGTTCTGCACTGATGTGTTTTATTCAGATCTAATGCAGTGATTTTGGAGTTCGAGAGTCTCCAACTTAACCCAGTCCATTGCAGACCCTGCACTTTGCAGTCTGCGCCGTTTGCACAGCACTTTCGGGAGTGCCGCCGTGTCCTAGCTTAACAATCCAGTCCAGCCAATAGCCTGTTTATCTCTGTTGGTGGGCTATTTCAAGACTTGGTCCGAAACTATTTGGTCAAATGCATGTATGGGATCAGAGCCCACGCTAAGCAGTGCTCGTGCGAGGCCCAACTCCGCCATCTGATCGAGAACTTCCAGGTCAACGGCAGTATTTCGTGGCGAAAGTGTTACGTGAGGCGATGCCCAACACGGCCTGTCCTAGCCTAATGCCCCAACACCAGCCGTTGCACCAGGGTCCTGTCCAGCCTACCCCGCCCGATGGCGTCACCACCAACCTACCCCACCCGATGGCGTCACCACCAACCTACCCCACCCGATGGTGTCACCACCAACCTACCCCACCCGATGGCGTCACCACCAACCTACCCCACCCGATGGCGTCACCACCAACCTACCCCACCCGATGGCGTCACCACCAACCTACCCCACTCGATGGCGTCACCACCAACCTACCCCACCCGATGGCGCCACCACCAACCTACCCCACCCGATGGCGTCACCACCAACCTACCCCACCCGGTGGCGTCACCACCAACCTACCCCACCCGATGGCGCCACCTGACTGCTAGCGCGGCCAGTGCCGCTGGTGGCGATCCAACCCAGTCAGGAGCAGATAACAAGCCCGCAAAGCGACCTGAATTCACATCGCAGCGGCAGGGACAAGCGCTCTAAACATCGGAACTACCGGAACAGGCAAAATATGGCCTAACTGAGCCACCGGGACAGGTGGTCTTGACCATCCATGGCGACCAGTTAAAATAAATTTACAAAGTCATGTAAAGTCCTTCAAGCGCGGCTTAGTCGGGTGCCAGGACGCGTCACAAATCCCTGATAAATCCAAGATTTCCAAAAATCCTGGCAGTTATTTTGAGCCGCAGCTTAAGACGGCGTTGTATGAAAAGAAACCGGCAACTGTCACGCTCTCCGGACAGCAGATACCAAGTCAGAAGTCACGTGCTGTCACCAAAGATATTGTCTTACTAACGTGACGCAGTCCCTTATCTTTAAACATTCCTGTGACTGTCAATCAAATCATTTCATGCGCTATGCATTAGTTAGCGTGCTAGCAGCTTACCCGAGCAAAAATAAGGCACAGCTTCAAAGTCCAGAGAGCCTGTAAAATGCATACACTCATGTATTTACACGTGCACAAGTGTGATATGTTCAGCAGTTGACGAAGGCGCGCTGGAGAGTTTGCTAGCAGTTTTACATTTAAATTAATCCGCTTAAATGTTGTTTGCGCTCGTTTTCATTCCGGCTAAGCCGAGTGCGGGTCACGATGACTTGTTATCGTCTCGGCGCAGGCAACCAAAGTATGTTCGCATTTTTAATGAGCTATCACTGCGTTGCAGCGTTTTTGTGAGACTGATCTCCAAGGGCGTGGGGTAATACGCCATCCGTAGCTCTTCATTCGCCACCCACACTACCACTCAGGCGCCTCTCGCGGCTGGCACGAGCGGTGACAGTGGACGCGAGAGCTGTCATTTGTCATCCTGCCAACGCCGTCAAGACAATGACTTGTTAACGTCAGTCTCGTTTGGGAATATTGCAAAATAGTATGATTCATGCATTGGGATTACGCCTCCATGAAAGTTCAGCAGGAGCGTGTTCACTGACGCTCGTTCGCGCGCACGCTCGCCAACCATACGGCTTGGATACTGACCGGCTGTGAGTATGGCCAGACTCGGTAATTTCAACAGGGAAAGAGATGTGGTGATTAAATCTTCAATAATCTAATCTTTACTTGCTGTAATTTGGTAAGTGCGTTTGCGAGCAATATTGCAAATATATTGGACATTATTGTTAGCCTTTTTCCTTACCGAATAACCATAAAGGAAAAAGGTACATGCATCAATATTTCGGCTACATGTCTTTGCCAAAAATATTATGAGCGGTAAACTAAAAATGCATTAAGTAAATTTTAAATACGCTGCTCATAATGGTTTTGACGAAGGCACGTAGCAGAAATATCAATACGTCTATCTCTCCTTTCTCCTGGTAGTTCGACAAGAAATAAACCTAACGGTACTATCATTGTTTACTGTGGTCAGCGCGACGAACAGCATCCTAGTGTTTCGGGAAGACATCAGTGACAGTGAACTGACCCATAAGCCTATGTAGTTCTATGGGTTTTCTCCCACTTTTGAGCACAGCATGCCGTATTCGAGACCGGTTCCGAAAACGAAAGCCTTTCACGACCGCCGCACACCATCATAAGCACCTCGCTGCGATCCCGAGTCTCACCACTCTGACCAGCTGTGCCGAACTGATCCCTGGCCAGGTCTGGGAGCGGTTCAGGTCGGGTGGGTTTGGGGGGGGGGGACACGCAGCCTTCACGGCGCCGACTCGGGCCACCGGGGCGCGGGACGGCACCGCGTCCGGGCAGTCAGTGGAGCGAGGGTGGCGGCGCAGGAGTGGGCGTCGCGTCGCCGTTGTCCGACGGCGTCGCCTCTCGTGAGGGCGTCCGTGGCGCGAGCTATCGTCCGATGAACTGCCTCTTGTGAGGGCGTCCGTGGCGCGAGCTATCGTCCGATGAACTGCCTCTTGTGAGGGCGTCCGTGGCGCGAGCTATCGTCCAACGAACTGCCTCTTGTGAGGGCGTCCGTGGCGCGAGCTATCGTCCGACGAACTGCCTCTTGTGAGGGCGTCCGTGGCGCGAGCTATCGTCCGATGAACTGCCTCTTGTGAGGGCGTCCGTGGCGCGAGCTATCGTCCGATGAACTGCCTCTTGTGAGGGCGTCCGTGGCGCGAGCTATCGTCCAACGAACTGCCTCTTGTGAAGGTGTCTGTGGCGCGAGCTATCGTCCGACGAACTGCCTCGTGTGAGGGCGTGCGTGGCGCGAGCTATCGTCCGATGAACTGCCTCTTGTGAGGGCGTCCGTGGCGCGAGCTATCGTCGGAAGAACTGCCTCTTGTGGGGGCGTCCGTGACGCGAGCTATCGTCCGACGAACTGCCTCGCGTTGGAGCGTCCGTGGCGCGACAGTAGCGCTTTGAGTGCAAGCTCGGCGAGAATTCACACAGGCATTGTTGTGCTCTTCAGTCGTGAGGGAAGCAAATCGTAAGTAGTCATGACCATCTCTGATAAAATTTGAATGGTGGAGCGTGCAGAATTTGTAAATGAAATGCATTTACATAAAGAGCTATCCCCGTCTCCCTTAGAGAAACTTTAATATATTTTTGGAGCAATAACCGCTTTTTTTGTTTAAACTGCTCAGACCAAAGGAAACAGTGCATGGTTGCGATACAATATATTCTTAAGTTAAGCGTGCGCTCTTCAAAAGTCTAGATTGTTTGAGCTTTTGTATTATGTTTGAGTTTTTATTATTTATTTATTTATTTATTTATTAGTATAATATATATTCTATTTTTATTATTAATATTATTAATTAATATAAATAAATAAAAAAAATATATATTATTTATTAAAATATGTTTGAGCTTATAGTCCTCTTCGAACATGTGCGTTACGGATTCAACCAGCGGAAGCTTGGACAGACACGCTCAGAGGCGTCACTATATAAAATCGGTTAGCGGCCTAAGCTGATGTACTTGACTCAAACTAACTTAAAGACCAGATTTATTCCCGGATTTATGCCATTTAAGTTGCGCTCTCATGTGTCAATGGTTTCAATTTTCATTTTCTAGCATCGACCGATTTAAGGTTTTTTTACGAAAAATTGATATTATATTTCAAGTGAGAAGCCCACGCAGTTTCACATCCCATGTAAAACTGCAACTTGGTGTAAAGCTTGGAACTGGGTTAAATTAGCAGAAAATATCTTAGTAAGACGGTTCAATATGATCACCGGGAAAACTCATCTTTTACCCTGCATGGAAGGTGGGCCGTGCCGCAAAAAAAAAACAAATGCACGCAAGGTGCCGTGGTCTGACACATATCGACTAGAGAAAGGTGCACATGCTAACTTTCCGTGGACAGGTCACGGAAAATCCATCATTTGTACTGCCAGAAAGTACTTTCACCTAACAGTAAAGCTGAACTCCTACGACCTCAACAGGCATGTCAATAACTGGAAGGACAGAATAAGAAGGGGCAGGTAACCGAACGGGTTACCAGAATTGCCGCGGTAACAAGCACTGTGATCGTCGCTTTGACATGAGTTTGAAGTTAACGTAAACAAGGAAAGTCTTACGTTCATGACACTTGAGCATTATGAGTTGCGACCCGCGCTCGCGTGGAAGTACTGGTTAAATGACGTCATCAAGCAAGAAACGGTCACAATGAAAACAATTTGACTTTTTACCTAAGTTCGGTGACTTCGCAAAGAATCAATTAACAGCACGCTAATCTTTCTTTGACTTTCGAACACATCATGCAAAATGTATCAATTCAATTCCTCGACGCCCTCTTTGTGATAAAGTAGTTCGAAAATATACCACCGATCTTTTTTTAAGCGCATGGCAGTAATCGCATTGCCTTATAATTCGGCACACTCCCATTATTATTAAAAATCATCTCTCATAGCACATATGGGGAGATTGGTGCGTACATCGTTTTATCCTCAGTGTATCCGTAGTTGTGTTAATAGAGCAGTTGTGCAAATCCGTTTTTTCCGTGGGAGCGGACACTCAGGACACCGAGTGAAGTCCGCCACATGTGCAGCACGCTGTCCGTTTCCAAACGGGGTGATATACACATAGCAGCCCCCGCCCCTACTAAATATGTAGCGTATACCAATATGCACGCGACTAGATGTTGAAGTTAAAATGCCATTTAGCAACATGAAAATAGCGTTTGCAATAGGCTTAACATAGCGTATTTAACTGGCTTAAAAGCGTTGGTAACTGGTTAAAAACGTGCTCGTGATTGGTTTAAAACACACGTGATAGACTAGTCAAAATCCCCCCCCCCCCCCCGTAGAAGTATACACAATAACGCCTCCGCGCCCAGATAATAATAAGTTGGCCCAATTTTTCAGATTATTAGACATTGAGGTTCGAATACTATACGGACTTGCTGGAATGCCTTCGATCACATTCAAAGAAGATGGTTATAAAAACTACCTAGGCAGACCAGAGTGCTAATGGAAGCCTAGCAAGTGGAGTTATGTTTTGAAACAGCTAAAGCGCACGATTTTTTGCAAGATTAAAATTTTAACCTTGGGCGCTTTTTTGTAGCATTAAATTGTTGTCCTTTAAACGGAGCCCCAACACACGCATTCATTAATTTGACACCACCGAACATTCACTGAATCAGGCTGGCTCCCGATGTCCCAAGCAAAGGCCTGCCGTGATGTCCTGAACCATTGAAAAAGCGAAGGTGCGAGATTTGTTGCTGAGTCAAGTGTCTGACACTGACACTGACGCATAGCCTGATAAGTATCTTCCAACTGAACAGAAACAAAGCCGGACAAAGAATAGATAATAAGTGTCTGATAGTCTGCATTTGCGCGACACATTTTTCAGCAATTCTCTACCAGGAAAATTTTCAGCTGAAAACGCGCAGGATTTTAGGCAGTAGATTGATACAAACAGCATCGTGTCCTACAAGAACATTCTGTCCGAATTTTCACGCTGGTTTTTCCATGTGACATTTATTAAGGGTGCACCACACGTCACCCTGCATCCTTTTATGAAACACGAATGACAGCAGAGGCCATATTAGCGCTTGGGGGGGGGGGGGGGGGGGCAAGGCGCAACTGGGATTTGAACCAGTGCCCCCCACAGGACAGTCGAAGACACTGACTACTCAGGCATTATGCTTCCTCTATAACCAGAATCCTCTAGAACGGCAGGCACACGGATTCTCTTTGCTCATACAGAGCTCAGTCTCGTCAGTCTCGCATTTCAGTCAGGGGCTGTTTAGACTTCAGGTCCGAGGACACAATGCAACTCGTTACAGCCCCACATGAAGCAGAAGTTTTTTTTTGCATGTTGGAAGGGTGCAACTGTCCTTCAGGCAGGTGCCCACATCATGTAAGCAGGGCTATGTATAATGTTGAGCTGAACAAATTTTCTTTTGATCACTGGGCTTGGAAGACGCCAATCCGTTCCGCTATAAACGGAACTGTGTAGTGTCATATAAAGTAAAGTATAGCACAGAACTACGTGCATTATAGTACGCTGTGAATGCAGTATGGCATATCAGTGTAGTGTATTATTGCGTAGTATGATATGGTATAGAACAGCATCATATTCGCACAGAAGCAGTTCTGGTAAGATCTACATTGTTTTCGTTATTGAAGGTCCCTTTGAGAAGTTACAATAGCACCAGACATCAGTCATCTCTATCATAGACTGTCCCTGGAAATAAGGGCGTAGTTGCGTCTGAGGTCAAGGACAGAGCCGTTTTAATTTTGCATTAGCATTCCTGGCTTGCACTCAGCTTGCAGCTTGCAGCCGTAATGCCACATTTCGTAAACATTTAAACGAATTGTCGAGCAAATCAGCATTGGACCATTCGATCTCTGTACACACCATTATAGTATCGCCATATGATGCCCTTCAATTACATGGTGCGCACTTAGGTCGTGGGCGAGGGAATGAAACTATGAGGAAGGTGGAAATACAAGCAACAATCATGGCACCATAACGCTTATGATGAAAAACGATGACGAAGGCTCAACGTGAGCAGAATAGCTAACGATGACATCTCGGTGTCGACATTGCCCTTGCCATTGCGAAAACGATGCCACCAAGTGTCAAGGTGGGAACACCGACCAACCTCGCTTCTATGGCGTAAAATGCTGAGATACAAACTAGACATCAACTTGGGTTATATCTATTAGTCCAGTCTAAGTGATCTATCGTTCTATTGTACTGATCTACTTTGATCTCAGGATGTCGCTTGCATATCAGGGAAAAGCACCGATGGTAGGGAAAACTAAGTAGAAGGCGGAGTACACGTGCTAGAGTAAAAATCATATAACAGAGGCATATTAAACCACGTCCTGGCACGATATAGACTATCGAAAACCCCTGACGTGAGCTGGAACGAAGCAGTTGGGGTAATGTCAGGAACTGGTGCTGCAGGGAGTACAGCAAATGGCGCGATGTTAACACAGGTGTTGGCGCAGACTGCGAATAGCGACTTTATTGGGGTCGCGTGCTTCCCTAGGCAATGCCAAGGCTTAAGAACGGGGCCACCATTTTGAGACTCGGACTCGATGTAAATCCATCATGACAGTAGTTCAGAGCAGGACTTATCTGAAGACTTGACTCCGAATCAGATTCAGATTCATCGAACTCCCACTCAGATTCGGAGTCACAGTCCTTACATGCAGTAAAAATGAGTAGAACCTGCTCTGAGAACCGCGTAATATATAAAGGGCGGACGCGTGCTGCAGAAAGACTCAATTTACCGGGAACAAGGAGTCGCTTACGGGCTCTTTTTAGAGCGCTCGGAGTTCATGTTTGCTGATCGCCTTTGAACTATTTCCTGCTGAGAAGATGTTTATTCAGTAGTATTTGTCGGTGCTTTGGGCCGCACCCTGCCCTTCAGTATGGAGAGCCCTGTATCCGCATTTCTGGCCATGATCAGCTGTCCGAAAACCGCAACGGCGTGCTTAGGCATCACTAGATGTGTCTCTCACCTTCGGCTGAGGATAAATTTACTCTTTGCGGTCCGCTCTGCGGTCTGGTCTGTGGCGCGCTTATCACAGATGGTCAGGTGGGCACATGAGGGTGTGTGTGGGGGGGGGGGGGGGATAAGCTGAGTTGAAGGACATCAAATGATCAGGACATCTCTATTGATGCAGGAATACATGCTGATGTGTTTTTAATGAAATGATTTTGATGCTTTGGTTTGTATTGTGACCAGGTAGTTAGCAAACAGGTATTTATTTACTTCATCCCGGTGAAGAATAGCATCTTGTGTGAACACCCAAATAAGAGAGCGTTTGACGTCACTGAAACACCACAAGCAGCAATCGGAGTACGCTCAGTGGCATCATCAACGCACAACACCTGGCGGCCAGAGTACAAACTGAGCTCGCGCGCAGTGGTGCTCTGTCACTACACTCATGTGAGCAGGCAGCCCAGACAGTGATGACACGGTGGCGCACCGTCCCTGCCAGCCCCACCGCGAGACCGTGCTGACACGGTGGCGCACCGTCCCTGCCAGCTACGCCCCGAGACAGTGCTGGCGCGGTGGCGCACCGTCCCTGCCAGCTACACTACGAAGCAGTGCTGTTGTGCAGCAGCCTGCCAGCGTAATAAGCTCCCTGGTGTACCTGCTGACGCGCAGGGAGGGCGCGTCCGGGCGACAGGGGCTGCTGCCGCCTGACAGGCCGCCACTGGCTGACAGAGGCTGCAACAGGCGGATAGAGGCTGCCGCGGGCTGACACCAGCTGCCGCGGCCTGAAAGGCTACCGCGGGCTGACAGAGGCTGCCCCGGTCTGACAGAGGCTGCTGCCGCCTGACAGATGCTGCCGTGGCCTGACAGAGACTACCGCGGCCTAACAAAGGCTGACGAGGCTTGACAGAGGCTGCCCCGGTCTGACAGAGGCCGCTGCCGCCTGGCAGAGGCTGCCTCGGTCTGACAGAGACTGCCCCGGCCTCACAAAGGTTACCGCCGCCTGACAGAGACTGCCACCGCCTGACGGAGGCTGCCGCCGCCTGACAGAGGCTGCCGCCGCCTGACAGGGGCTGCCTCGGCCTGACAGGGGCTTGGCCTCGCCCGCATCAGCATGCAGTCCGTGCGCGCGACTTGTCTCGTCTGCATTCGCTGCTGTTGCGGAACGCGCAGCGACGGATTCGTCTGTGACGCCGCACTCAGCACTGGCCAAGGTGCGACACGCGTTATAGGATTATCTTTCGTCATCCCTTCAGCTATGGCAAGGGCCGTATTCCATCCGCGAGCCTCCGGTATGCAGGATGTGCAGTGTCCGTTTGGAAGAAGACTGGGTTTATTGTAAGCGGAGTTGCTGGGGCCTGCATCCCATACATCTTGCATGAAGTGCAATTTAAATTTATTCTCTCAACAAGCCGGACATGTTTGGCCAAGAGTTTTGCGAGCGCCATCCGTGCAGGACATTCCGTCAGAGAGGATTGCGTAGATCCACTACCGATGAAATCAGCGGCGTCGAGTCGGCTCCCGAGGATCACCGTCTCCTCCGCATGCATCTGTCCACGGCGACCTTTAACGAGACGAAAAGCCGCCAGGTCCCGTCTGCTGATAACGTCTTGCAGCGATCCATGCGACTAATCAGAGAGAGGGGGGGGGGGGGGGGGGCTGGCTGGCTTGGGTGCTGGCGCGCATACGTGCTAAACCAGTTTTCTCGACCCGTCGTGGCCCGCCAAACACTTCCCAGGCTCATCTCAGATGAGCGTGCAGAGACGGACGTCTGTTGACCATTTTTCTACCGTCCTGTGCAGCTGACGTAGGTGCCTGACAGTGTTTGTCCGCTTAGCTCAGGTGACCACGAGAATGGAGGGGGGGGGGGGGGCTGCCCGCCCGTCAGTCTGCCACAGAAGCATTACAAGCACCTGAGAGATACGCAGTTAGAGCACTGGTGATCGAGCACTCTTAGCTGCAATCCTTTTGCTTACATTCCTCCTACGGTGTACAAGTTTAAAAGACAGCTCTCGCGGTGGCCACTTTGATGAATGACCCGCAGTCTTCCTCGGTAATTAGCGTGGTCTTTGACGGATTCTTTTCACGAATCCTGTCCCGGATATCCGATTAGCATAGGTCAGAGTCAGTCATGCATGTCATTCATTGCACTGCATTGCACATCATGCATGTCATTAGCATGTCATTTCACATTTGTATGCCGCGCACATGCGTACTGACTACCTCATGCACACATACAGTGAAGGTCATAATAGGAATGCCATAAATACCCGTAACAATCATGATGGCATGCACGTACATACATACTAGAATGATCATTCATCGAACAGGCTGCTGTAGCGAGAAGAAAGGATATATATATATATATATATATATATATATATATATATATATATGGTGCCACCCAGATCACCACCGGTGCTGCTCGTTCTCGCGAGGTGCCGCCGCAGGTCACCACCGGTGCTGCTCGTTCTCGCGAGGTGCCGCCGCAGGTCACCACCGGTGCTGCTCGTTCTCGCGAGGTGCCGCCGCATGTCACCACCGGTGCTGCTCGTTCTCGCGAGGTGCCGCCGCAGGTCACCACCGGCGTGGCTCGTTCTCGGCTGAGCCCTGTCGTGCTGACCCGTCACTCCCGTGTCGCCGTTGCAGGGTAGTGCCGACATGGCCGGGACCAAGCGGCAGCGCACGGACGTTCTGCTGGACCAGATCGGCGACATCGGCAGGTGGCAGATAGTCAGCTTCATCGTGCTGTCTCTCTTCAGTGAGCACCCAAACACGGGACGTGGGCGAGACTAACGTTGGTGCAGCGTCACCACTGGTCGACGCGTGGCACGCGTTTTCCATGACATCGCATGCATAATCTGACAGCGTTTTGAACACGGGTCCGCTTTGTCACGCCCCAGCAAAACATAGTGTGTCATGTTGTGTAACAGTGCGCAGAGGTGTGGACGGTCCTGACTCCGACTGTTCCGCATCCCTTCGCCCATCATCCAAACGGCAGGAAGAGGAGCGTGTTTTATTGTGCATCCTCGGCCGAAATAAATCCTCCCTAGCCTCTCGGAGCTGCATCCTTGATAGTGTGATTTAGCATTTCTCCCCCCCCCCCAAAAAAAAAACCAGAAAAGCTTTAAGATGGCAACTGAAAAAGACACGTGCAGCAGCATACCACGGATCGTTCGTTTGAAATCTCTAAGTGTTTTTTTATGTGGTTACTACAGTTCACATGGCGCTCTGCCTTTGCACGGCTGCGCTGCCTGGCATGCAGCCTCTAGCACGGGGCCCGCCAGAGCTGGCCACCTGGCCGACCGGTTTTTCGTCATCGGAACTGCCCTGGCTGCCCGGCACCCCGACATGGCGGTGATGCAAAAGGATATTAACCCCACGCGCGACGTCACATCGGTCTGTGTGTGTCATGTCATTAGGGCTTTACGACGCACTCAGCTGCTGAGGCTATACGGCGTCGCCTGCCTCTCACCCTGGCAGGAAGGGCGGGCACCGCGGAGAATCGAACCCCGTACCCCTGGTTTCTCAGACGCGCAGTGGTTCACGCATCCGCGTTAACCGCTACACTACCGGCACCCCTCACACCGGTCTGCTGCCGATCCCAGTATGCGTGCGGCCTTGACCCTCACCTCTCGGTGTAGTGCTCCCACGCGGTTCCCTCACGCAGAGGCGACTTCCCAACCCGATGTTTTACCGCGCCTTTTTGATGCAGGTTGACGATTGACGTTGTTTTGTTGTTGACGATTGACGTTGTCTTGTTGTTGACGACTGACGCCGGCGATGTGGTTTCTAGGTATTCCTGTGGCGTGGCAGACGCTAGTGGTGGTGTTTCACGCGCCGCCTGACGCCGACTTCTGGTGCACACGTCCGGCGGCGTTCGCCAACTGGACGGTGGACCAGTGGCGCCACTACAGCACGCCCCGGTCCGTAGACAAGGTGGGTGTGTGCGCCGAACGTACCTCACGTGTGCCGCACCCGTGTGTGCGCCGTACGTGTGCAGCGGCGCACACGTACGTGCGCACCGCACGTGTGCGCACGTATGGGTGTCCACAACACTAACGATGGGTGCTCCCCGGGCCCTGCCGGATGTTTTTCGCTGCTCTGGTACTTACTGTGCTAAGGAGCTGACATCACGAGTATCAGCCGTTGACATGCTCCGGTGCCACTTCTCAGAATGCGGTCTGTGCTTTTCCGTGTGATTTTTTGAAGAATCATAAGGCGGAGGGCCAAAAATTGGCAGGACCAGCAGAATGGTTGAATTCGTTTTGCCTCTCATCGCCACCGTGCCGATCCTCGTCCTGGCTTCGCCCGGCCATCTGGCATCGATCGGTGTTTGGCATGCGGACGCATCAGAGCCATGTATAGAGGTTAGCAGCAAGGCGGGTACACACTCACGAGTATCAGCCGTTGGAATATCAGCCCTGGAACTAACATCCCCGGGGACCGGTGCAGTGTCGCCTGGCCCGTTAACACTCTGACTGACCCTCGGAGGGAGTGGTCACTGGACGTGCTCAGTGCCGATAGGAATCGGTCGAGGGTTTGAAGCAAATCGGACACCCGTCATTAGCATGTTGACTTACATCTCCTAATCACCCCTGGAAACTTCTGTGCAGTTTTCGATAGCAAGTATCACGACACTTTAAGCGCAGTTTCACAATGCTTCAGTGCGTTTGCACGCAATAAATTTGACCGTGATCAGCGTTTTTTTTTTTGTCTGAACAAATTTAACTTGAAATAAAACGTGCGTGGAGTACAAGCTTGGTCAAAACGAGTGGGCGAGCCCAGATGCATGTTCTGCATCATCATGCAGCTGTTAACCGTTGTCTTTTTTGTGCAAATCACAACCATTCATGCATATGTGAAATTTTCTACGAAAGGTTTAAACCGCTGTACTATGTTCATAGCAGCTTGCACGTAATTACTGACATTACGCATATTTTATGCACATATCATACGCAATATTCATATCACATGTTTTCGCTTGTGCAAATTTCCGCATACATTTGAACAAGTCTATCACTTTGTAGGGAGAATCTTTGTGATCAAACATCTCGGCATAAGGCTTACATGTGATGTGGGGGTTGGGAGGGAGGGCGAAGTGACACCCTCGAACGACAACAGCAAGCTCCATGCGGCAATCTTTAACACCCCCCTATTTTCTGGCATTGGCACCGCTCCTTCGAAGTCGTGACTGCCACTCAGCGGGATGAGATGGGTTGCCACGGAACCTGCGGCGGCAATCCTGCGCCTCGACCGCAGCATGAGCGCCCGTTGGCAGCTCCGTGTCCGGCGCTCGCACCCTCACTCTCGGACGTCGTCTCTGCACACAGCACGGTGACCCCGTCTGGGACGGGTGTCGGGTGTTCGCCTTGAACTACAGCACGGCGCCGCCCGATCCGGACAGACCGCCACCGCCCCTCTCCAACGCCACCGTCAAGTGCCCGCACCAGCGGAAGATACCCGACCGCTGGCAGTTCGACCACGCCTTCCACAAGTGGACCATACGCGAGCACGTTAGTCATCGACCTCGCTTTACCGTGAGCAGGCACACGGCGCCTGGTTTCATGGATGGACGCGGGACGGCCGTGCAGTAACATAAGCCGGTGTCTGTGCGGACGGCGAGCATCCGTTTACTGCGCGGCCCTAGTGTCACACCTGCTTTCAAAGCCTGCTTCTCCTCTCAAGTCCAGTCAGCTGCGGTCGGAAGGCGCCTGCGTTCCGGGTCATCGCGTTTGCTTGTTGGTGGTCTCGTGCTTGGTCTGCTCAGCTGTGCTGTTGACCAGCTGACCGGAACGCCGACCGCTCCCACAGTTTGGCCTCGTCTGTGAATACGACTACCTCATCGGGCCTGTGACGGGCTCCTACTTGGTCGGCACGCTGATCGGCGTGTTCTTCGGCGGCATGGTCTCCGACAGGTACGTGACCCGCAGACTTCAGTCACTTATTGTCAAAAGTATGTGTCATGTCAAATAATTAGTTCGTCCCGATAGCTCAGTTGGTTAGAGTGTTTGTCTTCTGATTCATCCACCCGTGGCGATATGGGTTCGAATCGCTGTAGGAGTCCGCTGTTTGCTCTTCGGTGGGACGCCCTACGGCCGGTAGCAGCGGCCGTGCTAAAAGCCAGGTGATGTCAGAGCCCAGAACGGACCGTGCTGAGGATATCGGTCAGAACGTGCCGAGGGCATTGAGGCACCTTAAACTTTTGCCACCAGGTACTGTCCTGCCGTTTACTGAGACTTCCACGAGCGGATAGTAAGGACCAGGGCTCACGCAAAAAAAAAACACTGCTTAAAGTGAGCTCTGATCCCATAAATCTACTCATACAAAAGGTTATGAGTAAATCTTTAAAAACTAGCGTGCCACACTTAATGAATACAAGAGTCAGCGAAGCAGTTCTATGACGGGAGTCGAAGCCCGAACGTTCAGTCACAAAAGAAATGTTTAGATCAGTGAACTCCCGTCAGCTCCAGGCGGCTTCAGTCGTCAGGCGGCTGTAGATCAGAAGCGATCAGGATCTCGGACCACCAGATGATGTCATATGCATGAACATATATATATATATATATATATATATATATATATATATATAAATGCTCTGATGTATATAAAAAATGTATAAATGTATAGATATATTTAAATTTGTATGTATACGCAGGTGTGTACAATGCATCATCTGTTAAATTTTGACGCTCTTTCACACCGTGCGGATTTACATATCTGAAGAACAGAAATGCGCTTGCAACATCCCTTAGCGTAAAACCACGCATTGGGTGACAGGACGTGGGAGCTCATTAAATTGGTTATTTTGAGACATTGTCTTCACGCTGTTTTCAGCTTGTGACAATACCTGTGTTTCTTTTTACTTGACGTTGTTTAATCGTGATCATGAGCGCAGCTTTATAACGTCGCTTTTAAAAGTGCCGATTCATGATTAATGTTGTTTACCCAGTACTCCCGGTAAACTGAAGGTAGATTATTGCCACACGAGAACTCCGTACTCAGCCTGCGGAACACGTCATCTCCTGCATCGCAAAAATTCGTTCGGCTCACGCTGCTCAGCCTATCACCTGCACCGCATTTTTAGGGCTTCGACAAAGTTAAGCTCGAACTCTCAGTGCGTTGGCAGCAAGATGTGATGCGCAGATGACATGGCGAGCAGTCGTCTTCTTACCTGATGTCGTTAAGATGAGGAGATACGGTTCCTTATACAAAAGTACCCCACTAATTAGACAGCAGACAAGGGATGTAGCAAGCTTGAAGTGCAATGTCCCTCGAAAGAGAAAAGAATCCGGCAGATGACTGTATAGTAAACTTTTAGCTGCTAGGCAAGGACTTTGAACACTTTTAAGTGTTCACGATTTCAGGTGCAAATATTTATTAAGCATAGCTAGCCCATCAATCTTTTTTTGAACGTTTGTCATGAGCCCATCCTGAGCGGGCAACTGCTTCAATGCTCAGTTGTCAGTTGCAACACATCGCTCGCACCTGATTGGAAGATGACGTGCCGACGTTCGAGGCTGTCAAAATAGCGTACAATCGATTGGTACCTGACTGTATTTAATGGGTACCCGAGGCAAGTAATCAACTACCAGAACATTGGAAAATCCACCGTCGTTACGGTAAAATGAGGAGCGAAGGCTAATCTAAGAAATGTAAATTCTGATGTCCTACGACGGACTCATCATGGAAAAGGAGTTGCACGTAACACTGGTCCTCATGTAACCAACTGCTAGGGGATATCACTTCATCCTTGGCCCGTGCTTAGATTAATCACTTGCATATCCCCTCCCCCTAAAAAGCCTATTGTAACAGTTGGGATGAGGTGAGCATGTCAAGACAGAAGAAGCCATGAGTCAGCATATCATGGTCGAGCTCTGCTGCTCGTTAGCACGATCTTTGAAACCACTGAACACAGCTCATGCAGCTTTGAACAGCGGGGGGTACATTCCCTGAACTTTGTGCCGCATAAATTTCAAGTCTTTGCAAACAGGCTGCCTGATCATGAGAGCTATTCCTGCAATAACACCATTTCCACCAAACATCGTTCTCAACATCCCATCAACACAGCAGGAGACACGACTGACCTTGAAGCAGTTGCGAATCACACGGAGCGGAGCCAGGCTAGGCTTCCAGCGACAGGGCGTGGGAGTGTCGCCAGAATGGTCGTGAGACAACTCTTTGGACGATGGCGAGGACAGGCAACAATATCAGCAAAAATGGGGTGTCGGTGTCTGCCACGGATCACACCGGCTGAGTGTCTTGTAACGTGAGCTAGGCGGGTAACAACGTGGAAGTCAACAATCACCAGTCTCACGCTAACTCGAATTTCTCCATGGATTTAAGCCACTTTCCTATCGAAGTTGGGGGAGGGGGGCTGGCGGCAAGGCTGTGGAAGCTGGGCTGGAGCCCTCCAGCGGAATGCGGGACTGCATTCCTGGGTCTGGGTCACACGCGGGTGCAAGAACGTGACGGCCCGTCCGGGGATTTTCTTAATGTTACTGTTAGACCTCGGCGACCAGAAACAGACAAATAAGTGAAACCGAATACACACCGTGGGCGAAAGTACAACCTTCAAGTTAGTGCGCGATCCCAACACTGTCCAAATCACGGCTGTGCCAGTAGCTGAACTTATGCTAACCTTTTCGAATGCGGTCACGATAGAGAATGCAGCGACATAAACATATATTGAGAGAGTTTGAAGACTGTCTAGACGTGAAGTCCATTTCACGGTGACCAATAGTCACCCAAGATATTGACGTTTTTTTTGCAATGCAAATTTTGCCACTGGAATGTATAGACTATCGCCCTGCGATCGCATCTTTTGTTTTATATACGTAACTGAAACTCATCGATGTCGCCGACTGAAATTACCAGGCCTGGCCGGACTCCAGAACTAAGGCCAGACCCACACACTCAATGTTCGAGCCCAATGTTCGAGCACTGTCTCCGGACGCTAGAACTAGGGCCAGACCCACGCACTCAATGTTCGAGCACTGTCTCAAGCGTCATTTGGTAGACAAACACTAAATCAATTAACCTCCTTAAATCAATCAAGTTTAATTAATAAGCTGCCGACCTGAAAGGCTATACCATTCACATCACTTTTCACTTTCTACGGTTGCCAGCAAGGCATTAAGCAGGATTATGAGAACTTGCCTTTTGAAACACGTACAACGGAGGAAGCTAGACCAAATTTGTAACACGTGTTGCTTGAACCGCATTTCGTGCGTGCAGATCCATTCGTGTTTGAATCCGTCGCTGCTTATTAGGTGGGGCGGCGTGCTGTCAATCATGTTTAAAATATCCAACGGAGTTAAGCAAGGTTTTGATGTGTCTCCGCGCTTGTTCAATGTATACCTTGATGATTTAAGCTAATCTGTCAATGATATTTAAATCGGCTGTTATCGTGGGGACCGGCTGCTGTATCGTCCGCTGTGCGCAGAGATCTTGGTCTGTTGTTCCCATCTGCTGCTGGTCTTCAGAAGCTATTTAAAGTATGTGAGACGTACATCGATTCTGGTTCTATTTGATATAATCCAGACGTAACCACAGCTATATGAATTATGTCTGACAATCTACAAAATGCTCTGCTACTCAAGTCCCACTTGAATAGAAATTTCACAAAGGAAGTTACATGTCTTAAATATCTTATACTCGGCAATCTAACCGATAATGGACATACATAACATCAGAAGTAGCAGCTGCACGCTCAGAAAAATCACCTCGCACACAAATTTTGCGTGTGGTCAACCGACAAAAACCCCGAACTGTTTCGAGCCCCCTATAATGCCTGTACTCTGGTGGAATATAAGAAATCCAACTTTGGTAGAATATAACAAATATTATCTCGGATGGAATTGTTATGCAGCCTATCGCCGTCGTCTGCTGTGCTGATGCTTTACAATTTTCGGCTTCTCTCCGGCCATCACTAGGTGTTATTCAGTCCCAAGAAAGACATGAGGATGTTTGGCTTCCTCATGATTATAGTAGAAGTTCAGGAATATCGACCCGGGATTGCTCACGACCATGTTAAATGACCACGTTAGGTTTGATTAGGTTAGCTGAAATCACTTTACGAACTTTTCTTAGCAAATTAGAAAAGCGACAAAGCTATTTTGTTACTAATCCGTGAACTAATTTACTAAATGGACGTCGAAATGGCTCCGCTCTTCGTCAAGGGAACTACGTGCAGCTCGCGCACCATTCAAACGGCTAACCATTGGCCCAACATATCAAAAGCGAGCTCATTGCGAGGATTACGGGAAAACGCCCGCCGAAGTATGCAGGCTGTCGCCAGCCGCGCGATATTGCACTCCTCGGCGATGCTGGCCGTGACGTTGGCCCACACGCGCACAGCCCTCCCTCCCTCTCGTTCCCTCAAGCGTTGCCGCATGTGCTCTGCGCTGGTCCAGCGCCGACCGGTGGCCGCCTGTGGCCGGCCAGCAGCGCGTAGTTACACTACAGCCAGGCAAATTGCCGATGAGCGGGGAATCGCGGGTCATGCGAGGGCATCCTCTGACCGGGTCTTGTCGCGCGCGCTTTGTATTGACAGCGACGGGGATGACAGTGTCACCCACGGCGATGATGGCACGCGCTGTAAGCTGGAGGAGCGCTGTGGCCGACTGGTTAGGGTCACATGCCTCCGCGCTGCGGCTCGCGATAAAATCCAAGAATGTTCCACGATCCCCGGGCGCCCACATGTCTTGCAAGGATTCGCACAGGTTCGGCACTGATTGCCTTCGTGCTTGGCGTACGTGCCTCTTTTTGTTTCTGTGAAGGCAGTTGCCCAGTGACTTTCAGAGCATCGACAAAAGTTACAAGCGCCACCAAAAACGTCAGTAAAGTGAATTATGCGAACAAATCCAAGGCCCTGAAGATTACGTTTCTGACTTCCGCCCTTCCCGCACTGTTTTTATGAGGCTTCTATCGTTTGCCGGGCAGGTTTGGTCGTCGCCCAGCCATCCTCTGCCTTCTGGGGCTGACGCTCATCTCGGCAGTGGCCGTCACCTTCTCCAACAGCATCATGCTGTACATCGTGCTGCGCTTCATCCTGGCCCTTGCTGTCCAGGCTGTGTACATCACCAACTTCGTCTTCTGTGAGTGGCCTCCAAATGACCCCGCGCCAGCAACAATCAATATCAGGGTACAAGATTGGGGCCACCCGGACGCAGAGTACATCCCGGACTGATAGATTTTCGGACTGAGTGGATCGAGCGCTGATCCAGACTGGCCGGCTAGAAGACCAGTTAACATGGACTCGGACGCAGTCTCAAGCCTAAAGGAATGTGAGCGAGACTCGCAACCAATGGTTGTGGAAAAACGGGACCGTGACTTTCTCTCAAACAAACGAAACCAGCATTCGCTTCGGGCTGGACGCAGCTGAGTTACAACTCAGCTCATCAAGATCACATTTTATCAACCGGCGCGACGTAGCCATGGTAAAACTCTTGTGCGGATCGCTGAGTTTGATTTGCATTTACGTTTATGCGTTTACATTTTGATACCAAAGCATGTACGATGGGGAAAAAGGTATACAGAGATAGCATCAGGTTAAGTTACGATTCCTTGCTATTTTTATCCTCAAAACCCTTGATTGTTTTTGCACGCACGAAGAGTCCCATGGAAAGCCAATGGATACGCATCCGGATTCTGGCGCGCGAGACTAGGACTCAGACTCCGGTCTGGGCTCGGTACTGAAAGCCTCGGACCCGTGCGCGGCACCGACACACTGTGCCAGGGTTCGAGACCAGGACTCGCACGCAAGACATCCCGACTCGGTCTGGGACCAGCGCCGAATTTTTGAGTGCTGTCATGGCTCATGTCTGATTGTAATATTCAATGGTAATTATATAAGTGGGATGGCTGTTGCGTGGCCAGGATTTTACCCGGGCGGGACTAATCAGGTCATCAGGGTCAATCAGGTCACGAGGGGTACTTCCAACCTGGGGTCTTTTCGTCGCTACAAGAGCATTGTTGTCTAAATCGGAGGGCTTTTTAGGCTCGGGTCCCTATTTAATGTTTCAGAATTCGTTTACTTATGCTTTAGAAGCCCGGGCAGCGTTTCAAACAGCTGAACACCGCAGGTTCTGTCGGCCCCTCGGTACCTTTACCACTACCATGGGTTTGAGGCGTGGTCACAAAAACTTGGCTACGCCACTGCGTTTCCAACTACTACAAATTACTCCTGCATCAAGCTGTTTGACAGTCTGATAATGGCCTAAGTGTACCTTCGGAATTTCAGAAAAGCTCTGGTTACGTACCAGGTTCAGCGACTGAAAGCTGTGGTCGTGTCAGCCCCTATGTGGTGACCTCTGAACGTGATATTCCGGCTTTGTTGGCAGGTATGGAGATCGTGGGAGCCAAGTGGAGGGTCGTCCTGGGCCTGCTGTTTCAGGTGCCTTTCGCCTTCGGCTTCATCAGCTTGGCCGGCATCGCGTACCTCATCACCAACTGGCAGCATCTGCAGCTAGCCATCAGCGTTCCTCTGGTTCTCTTCATCCTCTATTACTGGTCAGTGACAGCGAGGGAGCGTTCTTGTACGGTATTGTTTGACGTGGGGATATAGTGCCTCTGTACTGGGAAACCTTTTCTGGGCATGGGTATGAACTACAACAGTCAACAACACTCGTTATCTATGCTTTCATATCATAATAGACCGAGGCCAAGTTTGCTGTAAAAAGCCAGGCATTAATCCAACCCAAACCTCGTCCTGGCCTGGCTGCCAAAGCCGGCGGTTTGGGTAAAGACAACTGAGCTTCTCACCTTACGCGCCGGTAACTCATCAGCAGCTACTAAGCTGGCTTTAATACCGGCCCAGCTTAAAAGCCCGGCCGTGCGTCTCCCGACCCAGTCACGTGACCCCGCCGGGCAGAGCGGCGTGTTCCCTGACCTCGTCACGTGACGTCGTGTGGCAGGGCAGTGTCGGAGTCGCCCCGCTGGCTGCTGGCCGCCGGGATGGTTGACAGTGCCGAGGCCATCATCGAGTCAGTCGCTGAAATCAACGACAGGGAGTACGACGAAACGGTGCAGCTGGTGCCACAGGTGAGCCAAGCGACAACCGAAATATATTCCTACGTGTCCGTCTGTAGTAACTTGATATCCTCATGAATAAATTTGCTTTAGAATGCAAGGTGGTGTCGGACTCAGTGAGCGATGAGAAACGCGACCGGCTGCTACCTAAGAACGTAACCTTGACCGCACGAGTGTACGCCCATGCCAGCTGGCATGTGCCATATGCTGATGAGTGACGTCCTCACGTGCTGCACGTGCTTATATACCACGTGCTAGGGTACACAATTTTGCGTACATATCATTTGGGAAGCAGCTGGACTGTCGGATGGAGTGAATTATCCCAGTGCCACCTTTCACTCCCAACCAACACTTAGCTGGCGCTCCCAAACGACACCAGGCAGGCGTCAAACGACACCCTGGCCGCCCAACAACCTCCAGACTACACCCCCACCGTTCGGTATGACACCTCTTAACATCTAGCACCCTTCGAACGACACCCTCAACATTCCGCAACATATCCGAGTGAAACCCGTCATTGGTCCATGCTGGTCCCAAACGATGCCCCTCACCATCTGACACCTTCATAACAAAATTATTCACCATCTGACCCGTTACAAGTGACACCCCTGCTGGCGCTGTACGGACGCTTCGGCTCACCCCTGCCCCCCCCCCCCCTCTTCCCTCCCGTAGCACGAGGCACGGACGCACGTGCACGTGAAAGAGCTTCTGCGCCACCGCCAGCTGCGCTGGCACACACTCCGCGTCTGGGCCATCTGGCTGGCCAACGGGCTCGCCTACTACGGCTTGCTCTTCTCCTTCGACGACTTGGACGGCGACGTGTTCCTGAACGCGGTGGCGGGCGGCGCGGTGGAGCTCGCGGGCTACCTGCTCGGCATCGGAGTCTGCCTCTGGCTCGGCAGACGCTGGGCAATCTTCGCTTTCATGCAGCTGAGCGGCGTGTGCCTACTGGCCACTATCGGCTTCAGCAGAGGTAAGCCGGGCAAAAAGACGCCAGGTAAATCGCTTGGGAATGTGGATTTGTCTTATACTTTGGATGGAAGTGCACAGCCAGATCAAGGCCTGTTTTAAGGCTACCACTGGGTGGGTTAGGGAGAATCACTGGGGGGGGGGGGATTTCGCCAGTCGAATTCTGGGTAAATCTGCGTATTTTGCGGACCTTCCTGTCATGCCGACAGTCGCATACAACTTCCATTTTCCAGTTGTTTTTGGCTAGAACCAAACGAACTTGGTGAGAATCTGATTTAGGCCGCGTACCGCAGAATGAGGTCAGCCACAATATAGAGGCGTAAGGCATTTCTGTATTGACTTTGTGTTCCAATGAGGAGATCACATAATACGCTATGTACACAAATGTGTGTCTGTCTGTCTTTTTGTCTTCTTTGGCTTGTTGACCTTATGCTTTTCAGTTTTCAATTTTTCAGTTTTCACAATTTTCACAGCACACATGTAAGTGCGTGAGGGGTGCACGTGCGCGCTGACGACTCTGCACGAAAAAATTGCGAAAAGAAATTCCACTCGTTGCGTAAATAACGATGAATCTTGGCGCCCCCATCAGAAAGAAGGCGCCGATTTACGCAAACAACGCCAGTGCAGAAAATGCAGATCACAGATCGAAAACGGTCGCGGGGATTGAATGTTAAGGTTTCTTATTCAGCGATACTTGACGCCATCGCACATGTCGCAGAAGTAAGTTCTCGAAAAACTGTGAATTGTGGACCCGTCTGGAACTGAGCGGTATCGAGGCATTACGGCAGTGGTAAGATAGTCAGAAATACAACGGCTGAGCGAAAAACAACGCGATGGGATCGCCATTCCGGCATGCAATAGAAGGCGCGGTGATAACCAGTCACCCAGCACAAGGCGTGGTTTGAGCTTTACAAGGCTTCATTCGCATGTCGTATTTTAAAAAGTTGGGCTCGTTTTGTTTTCAATGCGTCCCAGTATCCCTAGTCCACAATGTATGATTCTGAATGGGCTCCAAAGGTGTTTTGTGGCCATTCAGTACACGACTTGAGCAGGTGATAGCTAACTTGTTCGTTTTTGCCTGGGCGGGCTCGGGAGCGGAGGCATGACTTTTGCCTCATGAACTGCTAGAGGCAAGTATCAGCCACTGTGCGGAGACAGTGGAGTAAGCATATGGAAGCCTCGTGGGGTCGTGTCTCTCTTGACTAAATTTATGGCATTCGTTGATAAATTCGTGACCTAATATTTACAGTTGAAAATTTCAAGTGCGCACGTGAGAATAAAATCGAGAACATGCGATGTCATTTTACAATAAACAAGACATTTTGCATGCCAACGGCGCGCTGAACTCGGTTTCAGTAAACTTGTTTAGTTTTTCTCCTTTCCTTGCTTGTAACGAGTAGAAATAAGCCGTACATTTGGAGCCATCGCAGAAATCAGGATTGCGTAAGTACGTTGGCTTACACTGATGCATAGATGTGCAAGGGAACTTAAGGGTGTATGTGCGTGTTCATTAATATCCAAACACCAGCGAATTATCCGTGTTGAATAATGACATGTATGCGGAGACTGGCATGGGTCATGCTCTGCACAGGCCGTGACAACCTACGCGATAAGAAAGGATTGCCTACGGGACATTACTACAATTTGGACCACAATGCATCACACGATAGACATGGGGAGTCAGCACGGACAGTGAAAGCAAAAAGGACACATAGCAAGCTGACCTCATTGCCCTCTCCGTCCCTACACTCCCCTGGGAAAACTGCACGGGGAAGTGTCAAGGGAGTGTGGTAAGAGGGGTCATCTACATCCCAGATCCACAAAATCTAACATAAGCATTACGACGCTGCATGAAAAGAACCGAGGGACAAACTGTGTTTGCCTCCAAAACCCCTCAGAGAACTCGACGTTGCCGTAAGCAGTCTGACCCGAGGTCGACAGACCCCGGGGTAATAGGACAGATCCCACTTGCGAATGGATGCCATTTGCGTGACGTCACGCTGGTCATGTTCCGAATTATACATTTTGCGCTGACCCGCTAGTTGGATTCGCCGCTTTCTTACGCGGTCTTTCAATTGCCTGCAGTCGCAGCTGTCCATGAAACTGAAACTACTAGAAAATAATCCAGCATAACTGTCATAAACATGAGTGCCACCTGTTGGTTATATCGTTCCCAAATTTCGGCACACATCTACGTCATTTATTTCCAACTGGCAGACGTGAACGTGTAAAAAAAGATCGAGAACATACGATACTACTTTTCGGTACACAAAACAAAATCGGACTTGTCCGTCCGTTTGACCCGACCAGCCTGAAATGTCTTACGTTTCAAAGCGTTTTCTCGCTCGTGCTTTGGTTTTATTTTCTTATTTAAGAGCAGCCTCCCACCTTAGCATGCTTGGCCCCATACAGAACGCATGCGTCCACCACGACTCCGATCTCCGCCTGAACCTTTCCGAACTTCATGTCGGGCGTGAGCTGCCGGTAGATCAAGGTTTCCACTGGTGGATTTCACGGTTTACTGGGGGCGGGGGGGGGGGGATTTGGCAGTCGCTGGTGGGGATCATCCCCCGGGCAGCATGTCAGACTATGCCCTGGGCCAGGTGCGACAGTGCTCACAGCTGCCACCTTGGCTTTATGCCAGTGGGAAGACTAGCGTTTATTCCTCAGGTTTTGAAATGTGCTCATGGTTGGTGCGACGGCGACTTCATTTGGACGTGAACACATATGCGGTAACGATTCAAAGGTGCCGCTCGCATCGATGATCACGGGAGGGATCTTGTGATCCATGGCGGACACGTTTGGCATGTCATCCTCACTTCTTCGGTTCGATGTCACATTCTTGCGGACATGTATGCCACCAAAAGGCTTGGAAAGAACAGCACTTGATCGCTTGGAGCGACACAATGCGGCGTATGCTGCTTTCGGCCACGAGTGAAGTGAAGCGAAGTGAAGTGAAGTGAAGTGGATTATTTCCTCTGCATGCTTGCCTGCTTCCAAGGCCTTAGCTGTTAATGCTCTAGCAGCCTGACGCCCAATGATCAGGCATCTCAATCTGCAACGGAGAAGTTTTAAAACCTGTTCTGGAATTATAAAAAAATACCTGCGGTGGAGAACGTCACCAGTAAATCTCCACTCACTGTTGGCTGCGATCGAGTTAACCTTTGCAATGACAAAACGCTACAAGAGACTGCCATTAGGTTAAGAACAACAAAGTTGGATGGCAATGAACGGAGAAAACCTACGCTCGCTGTGGCTTGCGCTCGTTTGTACGGGATGCCGCCGCATTGTTGGATGATACCATTGTTGGATGATACCATTGTTGGAGCTACCGTGAGATGATTGTCACGGACAGTGAGTTCCAGTTGCAGTCGGTTGCAGGGGACAGGGGGCCAACTTAAGAGACCCTTTCCTCCATTGCCAAACTCTAGAGGATAGTGTGTGCTATTTTTGTCTTAAGTCATCGTCTGCTGTTATGGTCTTAAGTCATCGTCTGGCCTCAGCGTGCCGTGGATGGGTTCCATACATTGTTTAGTTTACAAGAGCATTGTCTTGTCAGTTACGCGCGACATGCGGCCTCGCAGATGACAGCGGAGACGAGCCTCAGACGGGTTTGACATTTACCACTGGCTGCGGCAGTAAGCGCGTCACGCGCCTCGCCGAGGTACAAGGCCTCGCCGCTCGCTGCTCGCTAAGGGTAGAGCAAAAGTCCGGGGGGGGGGGAGGGTTGTGATCTGCAGCGTGTGGGCGAAACGAAGCGAGCGAGTCTAGGGACGTCTGACCATATTTATGAAGTTCAGACGTGGCTCCGTGTCACGATAACCCTACCCCTGCTCCGCCGGCTGTCTCTTTCAGCAGCGCTCCGACGAGGCTGGGTGGTGCTGCTGGCCCGCGTCCACTCCCGCCCCATCTCCCATTGCAGGCGCACCAACAACGTTCGCTGCCGCTGCCGGCTTCCCTTCACGTTTGTCTCGGTCATTTCCAGAGAACTCCGGCGGGGCTGGCCGCTGTTGCTGTACACCATGCCGGCCCGCCTCTACCTCTGTCCCATCTCCTTCAGGGGAGTACCAGCGAGACTGGCCGCTGTTGCTGTTCACCATGCTGGCCCGGCTCTGCATCAGCTCCTCATTCGGTCTGGTGTTCGTGTACTCGGCTGAGGTGTTCCCCACGGGCCTGCGCAACACTGCTCTCGGCTCTTGCTCTGCCTGCTCCAAATTCGGCGCCGTGTTCGCGCCGTTTGTGGCGCGGTTGGTCAGTATATGGGCGGGAAACGAATGGTGGGATGGACTCAAACCGACATGCGATTGGGCGAGGTTGACGGCTGTAAGGAAGGACTGAAATTGTAATTGAATTTATGGCTTCAACTCAATTTGAATTTGAAGTTATCATTTCGATCCATGTTTGAGTTAAGTTCAATGTTATTACAGATTAAGCTTTGTAACTATTCCATGCAAGATGTAGTAAGAACTTTATCGCAAGGATAGCAGTCGCTACCACTCATGTACTTGTCAACGCTTCGATACATTACGTTTTATTACCAGGACGAGTACAATGGCGCAAAGTTACAACGAAAGATAGGATATTTAGATACTAGATAACTTTGCAGCATTGCGCTCGTCCTGATAATGACATGCAATGTATCGAAACGTTGAAAACTTCTCACTATCAGAGGACATTCCATACATGGGGCTATTCCACGTAAGACACTCTTACATTCCGTTTTAGGAGGAGTGGTCCAGCTTTACTGGTCATTTCAGACAGGGCAACCCAGCTTTCCGTGTTGTTACAGGCGCATCACTACACCCACCTGCCTGAGATCGTGCTGGCCGTGCTGGTGATGGTGTGTGGTGGTCTTCCGCTCTCTCTGCCGGAGACGCGGTACCTCAAGCTACCCGACACGCTCCACGAGGCGGGCACGCTGGGCAGGTGGGTCGTGGTGGCCTCTTGTCATAGGCGACCGAGTTGGGGATACAAGTCACCGAGCTCGAAAGACAGGTCACTGAGCTCGGGACACAGGTCACCGGGCTCGGGATACAGGTCACCGAGCTCGGGATACAGGTCGCCGAGCTCGAAAGACAGGCCATCGAGCGCGAAAGACAGGTCACCGGGCTCAGGAAATAGGTCACCAAGCTCGGGGGATAAGTCACCGAGCTGCTCGGGAGACAGGTCACCGAGCTCGGGAGACAAGGTACGGATCCCCGGACGTGAGGTACGGACCGGCAGGCGTGGGCTTCAGCCAGGTTCAGCGGTGCTGGCCGTTGTGCTGACCTCGGGCCGACGTGTTGGTGTGCCCGTATTACATTTTTCATTTTTAAAGTATCTCGAAAGCCTTCGAACTGCATTTACGTGCTGCTATTGTTGTCGGTGCTGCAGTTTAACCACTTCGCTACTGGTTCTCAATCTTTACATAGTGCAGGTGACATCCATTCGTCGTTGTCTTTGCCTCACCGGAGTTCATGTGGTGAATACTCTCTGCACTGATGGACCGCGATTCGTTCCCACAAAATGATGCACGCTTGTCCAGTTACGCACGTGCCTCGGCCGGCTTTGTCCCGGGGCACTCGCCACCGTGCATGACAGATGGTGCAAAGCGATCTGTATTCACATTTCACTTAACAAACCATTTCACCGACTCACGTGTCAGCCAGGGAAGTAGTCCATGAAAATGTATTGGAAGAGAAATGGGGCATCTCGAGGGCAGAATGTCGTGCCCGATGCACGCAAGAAAGTTCGCAGGGAAACAATAAGAAAAATCTTATTCTGATGATATGTGGAAAAGTCCCGAAAAAGGTGATCTTATATTTTTCTGTATACAGCATCATGCTGCTCATCCGATTAGCTTTATGTAATGATCGTTTCCGACCAAGAAAGACGTAAGTTCTCGTTTTAAACGTTATGAGTTCTCGTGCTGAGAAAAACTAGCCAATGTATACGAAGAGGAAATGGTTGAACAAGGATATCAGGCACTCGTTGAGCTAGATAACGTACATACCTGACGCTTCTACTAGCTATCATGGTCACTAGCAGACTCACGGCCATAGTGGCTGCTGGAAATGTGGAGTATATTCATGATATATCCCAATGGTTGTTTAGTACATTCGTTTTTGACAAGCACCTTGTGGTAGACGCAAGGTCGGCTAATCCCGGCATACGAACTCACGAGACAGGACGTTATCCCAATCTGAATAACGCTGACTGCATGATAGATAATGCATAGCCAGGAGCATGACGTCACGGAAGAGAGCGCGTACAGAGACTCTCCGACCCTGACACTCCTCCCCGCAGTGACGGCGTTACGGAGCTGCAACTGACACCAGCGGCCAGGGAGCGTCTGTCTCTCTGACCCTGACACCGCTCCCCGCAGTGACGATGTACCGGAGCCTCATTGGCTCGGCGCCGCAGCCGGTACCTGCGGCCAGGGGCGTCCGCCTCTCTGACCCTGACACTCCTCCCCTGCAGTGACGATGTTACGGAGCTGCGACTGGCGCCGGCTACCAGGAGTGTCCGCCTCTCTGACCCTGACACTCCTCCCCTGCAGTGACGATGTTACGGAACTGCGACTGGCGCCGGCTACCAGGAGTGTCCGTCTCTCTGACCCTGGCACTCCTCCCCTGCAGTGACGATGTCGCGGAGCTGCGACTGGCGCCGGCTACCAGGGGTGTCCGCCTCTCCGACCCTGACACCCGTCTCCTGCAGTGACGGTGTATCGGCTCGGCGCCGCAGCCGGTGCCGGCGGCCGGGGGCGTCCGTCTCTCTGACCCTGACGCTCCTCCCCTGCAGTGACCATGTACCGGAGCCGTATCGGCTCGGCGCCGCAGCCAGTACCGGCGGCCGGGGGCGTCCGTCTCTCTGACCCTGACACTCCTCCCCTGCAGTGACGATGTACCGGAGCCGTATCGGCTCGGCGCCGCAGCCGGTGCCGGCGGCCGGGGGCGTCCGTCTCTCTGACCCTGACACTCCTCCCCTGCAGTGACGATGTACCGGAGCCTCATTGGCCCGGCACCGCGGTCGGTACCGACCGTCAGAGAACGCCGAACACCGACACCAACGGGGGCACCGTCAACCACGGCTTCGACGCCATCCAGGAAGACGCCGATGCCGAGCTGTGAATGGGCGCGGGGGGGGGGGGGGCGCTGACCGCCGCTGTGCAAGGGCTTTACTAAGAGCCGCCACTTGCAGATGTATCGCTGTCGCGCTTCAGACAGAATTGCGGGTCGTGTTTTACACATGCTTCCTGGCCGTGTGTTGACATGTTACACGACTACGTGTCAGCAACTGCGCGTTTGGATGCTGGTGGCATCTGACATGCATTTGAAGGCGGGGCGTTATAATCTATATTTGTGCTTAAGCCCTCGGCACTGTCATGGGCGCCTGAGGGCTAGCGTTCAACGATGTTCAGATGTCGTCCGGCAGGAATAAAACCTACTAATTGGTTTCCAGTCGTCAGTCGGGTGCGACCACGTCGCGTAATGATGTACAAGGAGACATATTACGAAAACCAGGGTCTCCGCGATGAGTCGGCCGACAGTGATGGATAAGTTGTGGCGAATTCCGTTGTATTGCTGTGCTTCGGTGAATGTGCTTGCTGGAATATCTGATTGCAGTGATCATCATACCATTCAGTGGCATGACGAATGTGTAAAATACAGAACGGCTTTCCTGTGCTTGCATTTCTGAACCAGTTGGTACGCACACATCGTAGTTAAGGAATACGATGTTGAATAGACCGAAAGCATTGCCATGCATCTGTATGAAAAATAATGAGTAATCCACAAACACTATGGATAAAAATTATGCAACAAATGCACCAAATGATCCGAATGACCCATACTTCTGACCTCGCTGATCCGTGAAACGACACGGAACCGAGTCATAGATATTCGGCAGCCATCAACAATCGCAGATATCACACAACAGCCAACGCGACTTGAAACCTCGCCGAAGTAGACTGCGCACGGCCGAACGATGTACCGGGCGAAACGACATGGCCTCCAACAGGCCGCGGTCCCACCCCCCCCCCCCCCCCATGGCCCCATGACGCGTGGATGACGGCCAGCTGCCCCCTGTGAGTTGGGCAGGCGCGGCACCCTTCAACCCAGGGCACTCATCATGGGGCACCGGCGATGCTGAACTTGAAGACAGCGTGGGATCGAGAGCGCGCCACCCAGGATGTGGAAACAGAGTCGTGAGTTCATATCCCGCTCCCTGCGGGCATGCCATCACACCCTGCGCCATCGCAGAACGTAAGGTGTGGATAGTGCTGACAGAACGGTCCATACTGAAAGCTAGACAACGATTAGTCATGATGACTCCTCGATGCGCATCCTTTAACTAGAGCCCATGTAGATGCATCGAAACGGAAACAGAAGCAGAGAGAAGGGGGCTTGACTGCCATTAGCCGCCCTCTACGCCAGTGATGACGTGCACTGTACGCGTGCCACCGATCTGCCGGCCTGCTTTCGCCCGATGCGAAACAATGCCTTTGGAATGAATGTGTATTTTGCCTTTGTGGGGTATTGCAGCTCACATACGTCACGCGTGGAAAACAAGTGAAAGGCTCGTGTCTTGAACTCAGCTATTAAGTGAGCACACGCGCGCGCCACACTTCCACGTAAACCAAACAGCATCGACATATTAGGATCACGGACCATGGCCATTTCGGACATAAAACAAAGAGCATTAACCCCCAAGCAACGTGAATTTAGCGCAAAGCCCAATACCAGCAGACAACACACTGTCAGGCAAACAAGCTGTCATCACACCTTATTCTCTCCAGTATGAGCGCTTTCGGGTAACCTTTACAAAACCTTGAGCAGACAGCACTATCGCAGTGCTCTCCGCTCATTGCCCCTCCCCCCCCCCCGCCCCGGCGTTAACTGCAGCAAACCCTTTGTGCATCCCAAGCCCGAGGCGCGGTGCCATCGCCATCCTTTACATGACGCCACCTGCGCCACGGCCGACGAGGTACAGTTTCATCGCCGCTTCTTAGATGGCGCCACCTGCACCACGGCCGGCGCGGCATACGCGGCCTGGGACAGCCGGTTCATGTAGTACAGGATGGCCAGGGACGAGATGAGACTGAAACAAGGAGACGGGCGTCAGTTGCCGCCGCTGCGGGGAGTGGTGCCGGGAGACGGGCGTCAGCTGACGCCGCTGCGGGAAGTGGTGCTGAGAGACAGACGTCAGCTGCCGCCGCTGCGGAGAGTGGTGCCGGGGGACGGGGGTCAGCCACCGCCGCTGCGGGGAGTGGTGCCGGGGTACGGGGGTCAGCCACCGCCGCTGCGGGAAGTGGTGCCGGGGTACGGGGGTCAGTCGCCGCCGCTGCGGGGAGTGGTGCCGGGGGACGGGGGTCAGCCACCTCCGTTGCGGGAAGTGGTGCCGGGGGACGGGGGTCAGCCACCACCGCTGCGGGGAGTCGTGCCGGGGTACGGGGGTCAGCCGCCGCCGCTGCCGGGAGTGGTGCCGGGAAGACGGCAGTCAGCTGACACCGCTGCAGGGGCCAGCACCAACTGACGTGCGAGCAGTGCCAGGGACGGCTCCTGCCATGCCGTGCGGTGGACGCGCCGCGAAAGGTTCCTGAGCAACGGCGAATGCTTCTTAGGCAGAGCCTGTGGTGTTACAAACGGCTAGCAAATGACAGCGAAGACAGTTCTGAGCCAAAATCCTCTGATCCCATCCGACTCAGCGATGTAGCTTCTCTTAATTAATGCTCCGTATGATCGTGGATGATGAAGGCAGACACTCACCATAAGTACAGCGTAATCACCGCGCGTGAAGTGAACATCATACGCACCGCCTATATTTTGAAGATGCAGTCCAAGCAAAATTCACTCCTATCGGACCTACACCTTTGAAGAAGGGGACCACTAAAGCCCGTACCATATCACACCCGACAAACGGGATGTCGGCTTACTCGAATTTCCCACTCGATACAGGATATCCAGGTTCGCTTGTATAATCTGTGTGCTGTGTCTAAATGCAGAGTATGCTGCAACTCTGTCTAAATGCGGAGTTGCAGACCGTTGACTTCCACACAACACATGTGGGAATTAACTATTGTTGTTTGTTGGTGTCTTGGGGCGCGTCGACTGCGATGGTCATGTTGCGTCCATGTGTTTTCAAGTAAAAACAACACCTGACAACCGTTTTTACCCAGGTCCAAAGGCTGACTGGAACAGCGATGCTTCGAAGCTACCGAAAATGCGGGGCCCTAGGATAATGCCCATAACTTTTTCATGCTTTTCGACTTAGGCCAAAACTATCGATTGGATGAATTTCTAGGATCAATGCCGTCACACAACAGTGCTTATTGTGTGAAATTCCAAGCGCACGACCGAATTTGGCAACGAAAGCTCAACGTGTCAAAATGCTCGGCAAGGCCGTCCTACCCTCAAACGTCACCTGACCTAAGCGAGGCCAATGCCACCAGCCGCAGGCCACCGTGTCCAGGAGCAAACAGGGAGCGCACATAGCGACTCGAACCAAAATAAAGCAACTTGTATCTTATGGTTCATCATCGTCTTCAAAGCATCTCATCCATCACCATGCGCTACAATGCACTACTGCCGTTGCACCTGTGTGTTAGTGGATAACCTGAGTGTGCTAGGTAGGGGGTGGCAAGCAGATTTTGTTGTAATGTTGTATCAATGTATGTGTGAGTGTAGTATCTATGATAAATGTGCAGCGTGTGCCTGTGTGTAGAAGTGTAATTGATGATCAACAATACGTAATCTGTAGAAGTGTACACCCAAGCTCAGATGGGCCTCAGTGCCTTGTACGAGAACATTCCACGAATTACATTCTATTTTATGACCCTACCCGCCACGGTTGGGTGTGCCGGAAGGCAGGCGCACTCACCAACTGAGCTACTGGGACGGCTTGAGATGTACACTGAGGTTAATTCACACTTAGTGCAGTGTGCGTACTACAGAAGCAGAAATCAGGCGTACCACATGATCCGAGCGTGACTGCGCTCCAACGGTTCCCTGCAAACCACTACCAGTTCACCACGATATCCCCCCGCGCACTCCCATTCTGCAGATCAGAGGAGTTGAAGCCCTCCCCCCAACATTCCCGCCCACCTACTCGACCACCCTTCCACCCACCGCCGGCGTCTCTGCCGCGCCGCCGTCCTCACCAGACTGTGGTGCAGACCCTGTGGATCATGCCTGCCGCCGTGCACGCGATGGCCAGACAGAGCAGCACCTCCAGCAGCTTCGTCTGGAAGCCCTTGCCGAAGAGGGCTGCTTCCAGATTGCCTACAGCCGTCAGCATGAAGAGAAATAGCAGCGAGCTGGCTGCGCCGGCGGCCACTGTCAGCGACGGCGAGGCGGACAGCTGTGGCTTCAGCAGCTGCAGGCCGGCGAACAGGCCCACTGCTAGCAGCAGCGACAGCACCAGCGACGTCTGGCTGTTGACCGCTGTCGGAGGTGGACAGATGGCAGGTATCTTTACGAAAATGTTTCGTTTTTCGGATTTTACTGCAGGCTTTCCTGACTGAGGCGCAGTGCGCTCATATGATAGCATTACATAAGATTTACAATGGGGCGCTTCATTGGTCTTATTCATTCTTTGATGGCAGTAGCAAAAAGGTGACCATTTGAGACTGTCAAATCGATCCTTCCTCATCCGCGTTACGTGCGTAACCATTGGCTGCTTTGTATCTCCAACCATCATAGACCTGGTTTACTGCACAATAAGACAAAAGAGGGGGCACAAGTTATTGGCACCCAACTGGAAAAATAACATCCAAGCACACAAAGTATACCAATGACGAATTAATTCAATACAAAACTCACGGACATAATTCAGGCCGCGCACCCCGTTGTGCACATTAAAAATGCTTATGAGGAACTTGAAACTTGCCCCCAAGCAGTGTGGCAAGCAGCTTAGAACCTATCCTACCCCCAAATTGGATTTCATCAGACTTCAGGCATATTACTTTGCCATCCTGATATATTACTTTGCCATAGGCATATTACTTTGCCATTGCTCTTTTTAAAGAATAAAATGCAATTTTGTCACAATCATGTCAAAGAAAAGAGGGGAGTGGCACAACTGGTGAACAATTAATGTAATAGGCAGGAAAATGGTCAGAGCATACATCATTTACCTATATTTACAATAATCCCACAAACCTATGTGCCTCACAGGGCAGCCTTATGCAATATTTAGACATGCACCTGATTTCCAAGGGTGGATCCAGGATCCCATTAAGCTCTATGGTTATTGGATCCTGGATCTTTTTTGGGACTGCAGGCAAATGACTGCTTACTACTTGGTCATTTCAACACTCATAGCTTTTCATATGCCTGGCTGCTTGTACTAAGATTTACAACAGCACAACCGAGCCATACACAGTCCTGTCATGAAATCAGCAGAGGTAAGCACTGAAGAGCAAAAGCAGAATGCACAAAGGTTTAAGTTTTGTGCAAAGGACTAAACCACAAGGGAGCATGAAGTGCTACTTTGTGGCAGAGTTCAGTGATGGTGTACTTATGTGCATGGATGAGCATCTGTAAATAATCAACAAGTACACTGGTGTCACAAATCAATAAGCTCCTTTCAATAGCAGCCAGCATTAAGCATATCTCTGAGTCTGAGTCTGAGTATGAGTCTGAATCTGAGTCTAAGAGTCTGAACACCCCTAGGTTTGGGTTCGGCATGTAGACTTTTGGGGCCCAGGCTCAAATAGATTGGTCCCTTTCACAGATGAATCTGACCATGCTCAGATTAAATGGACTCAAACTCAGACTTAAGCCCATATAAGAGCAGATTCAAACTCAGGCTGATAAATTATAAAATGGTAGCAGAACTGCAAACTCCTTTGCTCTCCTCTTTGCATTTTCCCTGATAGTCTGGTGGGGCAGACTATGGTTCTATTCCACCTGGCACAACTGGCACTATAACCAAAGTGAACCCACAAGGCTGGGGGGTGGGGGGGGAGGGGGTGGAGGGGTGGGGGTAGGGAGCAATACAGCAACATGTTCAAAAAAAGTGGGCCTCCAACAGAAATTTCAGACTTCTATGGCATGCATTGTTACCACACACATGTTGAAACCTGGCATTATTGGTGGATCAGGCCCACAATAACACATCAGCTGGAAGCCTTCTAATGACATCATGTCATGCTGCTTTTTGGAAGGCTGTGGAGCTTTCGTTCATACACACAGCATTTAAGAACTTTCTTACAATGGAGCCAGAACTGATTTCTTTGAAATATGTCTAGTGCAATTAGAGACCAAATAACATCTTGCCCTTGAACTGCTGCATTGCCACCTCTGAACTTAAATGGAAAATGCTGTCCCTGGGTTCCTCCAGGGCCTCTCCTTGCTGTGGCTAGTGCAGTCTCAGGCTGAGTCTATTAGGTTAGCCTTTGGACTTACAAAGGAGCAGAGCTGAGCATTGGGTGCACCTATTCTAAATATCCTGATTTCTTATGAAACATCAAGTGCTGAAAACAGGGATTTATACCATGGGGATCATGCTTCAAACATTAAAAACCACTGTTGAATCCTGAAAGCCATTTTCTGAATAGATCAAAGCACACTGAAATATGTTTCTTGTTTATATTTTCTTGAAATAAACTACAAATAAACTAGACATGATACCTATATAAGATTACTGCATCCAATTCTGCAGCCTATCTTTTGGTCTCTACAATGAACTCATCACTGCCAGTCCAAATTGCTGCGATAACTGACCTTATTCGACTCCACAAAAGCTCTGCTGCTTTACAGCAGTAAAGCAGCCTTTGACTTGTTTCTTATATTGTTCTGGCATAATGATGCAATAGTTTGGGAAAAAGGGCATGGTATCCTGAAGAAAAAGGATAGAGCAGATCCTTAAAACATAATATGTATTTATCCTTGCAAATGTCACCTGCAGGTATCTACTTCACTCACATGAACTTGCAATGTTCAACGCACTTTCAAATGCTGTCAACGTGGTAAAATTAAGTTGTGATGCATAATGACATGTGGAAAACTCAATGCTAAGATAATAAATTTTGAGCAGAGCAGTGCAAGACATAACTAGTATGGGCAAATTAGATTGTCAGGAAAATCCTAGAGCACTCCAGTCAAGAAATCATCAGCCCCTGCCCTAGGCAGAAAAGCTGGCACCCCAATTTGGGGCTGGATTGGACACGCCCCAAGTGTCTTGTCACTAGTCTGCTACCATTCTACAAACTGGGCCTGATAAATCGTGTTGCAGGTCTGACACCTTCAGCAGATGGTGGCGTAGCTCAACGCGGGTTTGACTGCTATCACATTGAAGGAGAACACAAAAAAGCATTACACGAATACAAATTATTATGACATGCCACAAGGCAAACAGAAAAAATAACCAAGCAGGGCGCAAAGAGATACCGGTATCACTTGCAGAGCAAGATTTTGAGCGCATTGCTGTGCATCTGCTTCGGGGGACGTTGTAAAATTCAGCGGTCACAGCTGTGGATGGCCCAAATTGATCTGTACAGGCAATACTACACATTTCAGAAACTTACACATTTCGTCGATTACTCGCACAATAAGAAGAAAATGCCGACGCCGAGCTAGCACACCCCACCCGCCCAGAAACCCAGACTTGCCGTGCCGGCAAGAGAGCGTTTTACACCCTCAGC